CTTAAGGCCTTAGATGGAGGAAAATTTTTATTTATTCCCCACCTTTATAGGATGCATGATCTTTTATATCTTTATTTACTAAATATAATATAATAAACACTAAAAAGTTCAATGTAAAAGAACATAAAAATCATGTTAATTATGCACTCATCCGTAGGTCGTAGCATTTATGTTACATTCTCTTCTTCCGTAATTGAAAACTAAAGATAATATAATGTTTATAATTTTATATTTAATAAATAGATATAAAAAAAACTTAAGGTTTTTAGATTCCCTTCTTTGGGCTATTAGGTATTGAGAGGAATAGTTGACTCCTAGGTTATGGAGGACTCGAGTAGAAAGGATGCAAGTTTAGTTTAGGTCTCGTAACAACCCTATCACTATCTCTATTTGACTCTAGAGAGTGTTGAATTTACCTATCTATTCTTAGATGGTAACCTCTATCCCATTGATCTTATCTTCGTATTAAACGAAATCTCCTAAATATTACCCTCAAGATACCGCGAAGTGGTAGAGAGGAGTTGGCACCGGAATGGGAGTAATACCGAGACCCTTGTTATCTAAGTCCATACACTCTCTATTTCTTCTCCCCTCCTATAACATCCAAATGTATTTTGATCATATCGATGTTTGGAGTATGAATCACCGTCCTATGGTTCCTTAGCAATTGCTTTTGCATTGATCGCACGTGCTCCTATGTCATTGAAATAATTAAAATATTAAATCATAAATATATTTTTAAGATTATATTGATATATGTATATTTTTTTAAAAAAAAACTTACCATCATTTTTTGTGATCATTTGTCAATGAATGATCCATCTTTTTGCTTATAAGGGGTTCGAAGTAGCTTGTAAGAATTTGGGTTACGACCCAATATATTAAAAAAATCAACAAAATAATATGAGATGCAATCAATAAATAAAAAATTAATTTATAATACAATAGATAATAGGGTTTACTAAACATTTAGCATACTTAATCAAAGAGATGGACCCCCTTCGTATGCTTGGATGGGCCGACATCGTCACCATCCATCTCCGACCTATGGTTTTGAGACTTCTATTAAGATCGAGCTTGAAACTCGGGTGTTGCCCAACCACTAGTGACATGCATCCCACACCTGCTATTTAACAAATGCAATTCGTTAATCTTTTGCTTCGACTAGTTTAGCATATCGCCATACCGTCTTCATGCCGGACTATTACATGCATCTTCAATCAACACATTGACAACCACATCTTATAAAAAGTACTTATACATGAAGAAGAAAAATAATACTAGTACATTTCATGTTAAATTAATACTTTAAATAAAATATAAATAATTAATTAATATATTACCTAAACTCATTAAAGTAGAAGTCTTTCGTCTCTATCAAGATAAACTTTCTTATGGAGCCGGCGATGTCCAATTTGCTCTTTAAAAATTATGGGTTTTTTTTTGTGGAGCACTTACTTAATGGAACCAAGTTTTTAAACAAAACTAATAAATAAGTAAATTAATGATTTTAATATAATATATAAAAAGATAAAACTAATTACCACATGTAAGCATATTACTTATCGGTTATTCATAATCCAAATGGTCCATCCAGATATCAAATCTAGTAGAGCTTTTTAAAGCTAAGGAAACTATCACGAGGACCTCGGCGATCGTGGGCACTACTAGCGGGGGCATTACTAATGAAAGCACTACCGAAAGGTCATTACCGGTGGGAATGTAGAAGTACCGGTGCCACTATCAAGTCTAAGACCCTAGACACTTGTACTAGTAGTGTCACATCTACGTATAATGCCACTATCGGTGGCACGATCATGGATACAACCATTATTAATGCAACGACAATAGACATTATCATTATCAAAGTCAAGAGCACGGATACCATGACTAGATCCGCCCAATCCATAAGGTATAACTTTATAATAACATTTAAAACAGATCAATCCATAAGACATAACTCTAGAATAACCTTTAAAAAAATTTAATAAATACAACAAATGAATAACAATTCAACTGAAAATATATTATAAATTATTTTCACAAAAAAAAAAACAAATAAAAATTCGGCATTGTCTCCCCGTAAAGTGGATATTCCTTTATTACTAAAGACGTCACTCGTACAAAATACAAAACATCCAAAATGCACAGACAAACATCTAAAAAATGCATGATATAATTTAACAAATACAATAAATAAAATTGATCCTCAATTACAACTATCATAATCATCTTTTAAGTTTTTCTCTCTCTTAGTCAATTATGATACATATTCACTTTTATCTTCTTCATTAGTTTCAATTACTTTTATATCTATAAACGATCCATTTGGATCATTCAATAACTACTTCTCACCATCTTCTTATATCAAATTATGTTGAATTTTCAAATCATCCTCCCGAATTAAATTTAAACCTAAATCAAATTAACTTAATCAATTCTAATTCAAACTTAATTAAATTTAAAATAAAAAATAATTAACAATTTCTAATATAAATAAAATTAAAAATCAATCAATTAATCAAAATGAACCAAATTAATTAATTAAACCTAAATCAAATTAACTTAACTAATTCTAATTCTAACCTAATTAAATTTAAACCTATATCAAATTAACTATAATTCAAATCTAATTAAAATAACAAATTAATTAACAAATTAACTTACCAATTAATAAAAAATAAAAATTAACAAATTATAAATAACTTAACCATTAAATATATACAAAATTCTAAATCGATCGATTACATTAAAAATTAACCTAATAATTATGATAAATTCTAACTTTTATTGAGAAACAAATAGTGAGAATACTTACCTAATTCGGGGGTTAGAGAACATGACGAATGTAGGGAAAGCGAGAGTTTTTTGGGAGAACGAGATTTGGAGTGGTGTGGATTGATGAGGAGATGAGGAGTGAAGTTTTATGGTGGTTTTGGGTAGGGGAAGGACCGACTGCTAGGGGAGGAGAAGGAGAGGAAAAAGAAAATAGGAGGAGAATAAAAGGAAAAAGAATTTAATTAAGGATTCATATAGTGATGGATGCGATCTCATCACCGATTAGTTGTTATTTAGTGATGAACATAAGTGTATGTTGCTAAGTCATTGTTAGATGGGTGGCTTTTTAATTCCAAAAGGTTGTCCATTTTTTTAGAATTAACAACGGATGCATCCATCACTAACTATATGAGGGAAAAGTTCTTTAATGATGGATCCGTCGTCTCTTAAACCAAACATAAAAAATAGCTATGGACAAATAGTATGTTGTTGAATTCCTTAGCAATGCCATCTCTAACCCATCACTTAAACACCTAGGAAGATTTTGGTCCATAAATAGTGATGGATCTTTATCCATTGCTAATAAACCATCGACAAATCGTCTCTATGCCATCTCTAAATTCCACAAATACTACTCAATCACTATTTGTTCATTATTTATCTATAGACTATAATCCATCACTAAAATCCATCGCTAAATCCTAGTTTTGTTGTAGTAAATGTCATGTAGGTACATTGGTTTTGGTTTTTCTATTTATGTATAATGCTCTTTCATTTAATAATTGCTTATTAAGCTATTTTTTTACACTTGAAATTTTTCAATAATTCATTGATAAACTAGATTTTTTTCCACTTTAATTAATTAATTATATATATATATATAAGGTTTACATCATATTTAGTTTCATTCTTGCCTAAAATTGGCCATTGGATACCCTAAGTCCTCATAAGAAAAGGAATGCATAACCATACTTGTTGTATCCTAAAAAGGCAAAAGAACTATATTATTATTTATGTGTAAAATTGCTTGCCTACTTTCATTTAAAGCGAGAGTAAAAAATATAAAAATAGCCAACTTTAAAATATCTCTCACATAAATAGAAAAAAGAAAATAAAATATGTAAGAAATGGTTAATAAAAATGGAGCTAGAATATATAAAAATTCATATCTTATTTTTGTTATGCCTTTTTGCTTTTTTTTTTTTAGGCTCAACGAGTAAGGATGTCTCCATACTAGTTTTTATGTACCTCAAGATTAATCATTTCCTGGATGTGGCTAAGGAGTACTCCCTAATGCATGATTTTGAGTATTCTTAGAATAATTCTCAAGAATGATGGTCACAAAGATTGAATCCTAAATCCGACTCATAATTCGATGCTTACTTACCAATAGAATACCAACTTGTGTTTTATTATTGGTATGTCTTAATCTTAGTGAAGTTAGTCATGATACAAAAAAAAAACAAAACAAAAACAAAAAAAAGAGAGAAAAAGATGAAGAAAACACCTCAATGAATGCCAATAGTTATACCTCTCCATGGTAAACCATCGAGGAGTAGCAAAACCTAGATAATGATGAATGAAAGAGAATCCATTGGTGATAAACCACTAGTTTGGAATTCTTGACAAAAATTCTATATCGAAAAATACTTGGTCGATCAAACAAGGAATCATTGATAAATAATTTTATTTATTTATTTTTGACAAGTCAATATAAATTAGCAGTTAGTTATTCATGTTAGAAAAGATATCCGGATTTTGAGAGAAAGAGCTTGTATATTATTTATTCTCTTCTAACTTCTTATATACAAAGGTAAAAAAAGCAAAAACTAACTTTACTTCTAATTAACCTTAACTACAAAATAAACTATACAAATAGAAAAATAACTATAGTTAAAAATTAAACAACTAAACTAACTATAGTTAATAAATTTGTACACGTGTATAAAAAAGAAGGAAGGATAAGCACCGATACCCCTCTCAAGCTGGAGCATAAAGATCCAAGATGCCTAGCTTGGATATTTGCATGAAAAAGCTTATAAGAGCGAAAGGTTTCATGAAGCAATCAAGCAAATTGATTAGCTAAACGAACTAGAAGAAGATGCACAACACCTTGCATGCGTTTTTCCTTCATAATGTGATAATCAATATCTATATGTTTAGTCTTCTTATGAAATATAAGATTTTTGGCTATGAGAATTATAGATTGATTATCACATAAGGTCAATGTTGATTGAGGATGAGGAACGAGAAGAACCGTCATTAAGTGTAAAAGCCATTGTAGTTCACAATTCTTTATTGTAAAAGCTCTATACTCTACCTCTAATGAAGATTTAGAGACTATCAATTGCTTCGTAGATTTTTAAGATATAAGAGATGAACCAAGAAAAAATACAATATTTAGTTACGGATCTTCTAGTGTCCACATAAGCAACCCAATTTGAATTAGAGAACCCTTTGAGCTTAAGTGATTAGTGAAAGGAAAAAAAAATCCTTATCTAAAAGCACCTTTGATATATCAAAAGATTTGATATGTTGTAATAAGGTGTGCCTAAGTTGACTTGTTTAAAAACTAAGATAATTATTGAACAACATATTACAAATCGAGGCTTAGTATTGGTCAAATAGAGTAGTCGCCTACCAACCTTTTATAGTCGGTGATGTCGAAAGAAGAGTGCCATCTCTAGCACTTAATTTGACAAGTAACTAGTATAGGAGATTTAATAGGCTTTGCACCAATAAAACTTGTATCTTACAATAACTTCGAAGCTTATTTCCTTCGGCATAAACTAATCCCTTTAGAACATCTTACAACCTCAAGGTCTAAGAAATATTTTAAATCACCTAAGTTTTTTATTCCGAATTCTTCATATGGAAAAGTCTTGATTATTGTCATTTCTCTCATTTCATTACTTGCTAAAATGACATCATCAACATAAGTGAGTAAAACATTTAAAGAAGGGCTCGTAGACCTCACAAATATAGTAGGATTAGAAGCACCTCGAATGAAATCCTTAGTAATAAAACCAGTAGATAATTTAGCATACCACTACCTACTTGCTAACTTAAATCCATAAAGAGACTTCGATAACCCGCAAACTTGTCCTAGTTTGGAACCGTGAAATCCCAATGGTAAATCCATTTACATTTCTTCTTCAAGATCTCCATAAAGAAATGTATTATTAATGTCTAATTGGTATAGGTGCCAATTATCGATAGTTGCTACTCGCTAATAAGCTTCGATAGTAGTCATTTTAGCCACTGTAGAGAAGGTATCTAGTGTCATACACACTTACTTGTCAGTGCATATCCTTTAGCCACAAATCGAGCTTTATACCTTTCAATAGATCCATCGACTTTATACTTTATTTTGTACACCCATTTGCACCTTATGCTTTGTTTGGTAATAGGCATCTTATGCTTTGTTTGGTAATAGGTAGATTAGTAAGTTTCGAAGTATGATTTTTCTATAAAGCCTTAATTTTTGCATCCATAGCTATTTTCTAGCAGTCATACTTAACTTCCTAATGATAAGTTTTAGGTTTTATGATAGCAAAAATATAAACACTAAAGACTTTATGTAAAGGTGAACAATGAGAATAAGACAAAATAGAAGATAAAAGATAAGGAGTAGAACCTATTTGAGGAAGAAAAGTACAACCAACAAGAGATAAAGCTTAAGAAAATGACTATGTGAAGCACAATGATAATCTTGAAGATATGTGGGTGCAATTTTAGATCTTATAGATCATCTTGGAGGAGCTTGAGAAGGTTTCAAAGGTGAAGAATTTGAAGAAAGAACGAAGTAGAAGACAATATGGAATCAAATGAATTTATGACATTTTCCGACATAAACAATGTAATAGGAAAAGAAGAAGAAAAAGAATTATAAATGTCAAAAAAAGAATCAAGAAGAATGCTAGGAAGCACAAAATCTAAAGAAGAGTCGAATGTATTGAGGAATAAGCAAATAGAAAGATGTTTTCATAAAAAATAATATCTCCAGACACTAAGATATTGCCATTATGAAGATTGTATAGTTTATGACTTTTGTTCTAGGAGAAAACACTAAAAAAATACATTTAGAAGATCCGGCATCGAATTTAGCATTATGATCAAGGTTAGACGCAAAATAAAGACAACCAAAGACTTTAAGATTGGAATAAGTAGGAAGTTTGCCAAATAAGATTTCAAAAGGGGTTTTATTATCTAAAATAATTATGGGAAGTTTGTTGATCAAATGTACTACATGCGAAAAGAATCTACCCCAAATGTAAGTGGAAGATGTGCTTGAAATTAAAGGGCCTTGGCAACATTTAGTATATATTGATATTTTCTTTCAATAATACTGTTTTATTGTGGTGTTTTAACACAAGAAGTTTGATGTAAGGTACCTTTTGAAGCAAAGAATAGAAGATATGTTAAATTCTTGACCATTGTCTATTCTAATAGTGAGAATTTTGGCAAAAAACTAGGTGTTAACAAGAGTATAAAAGTTCTAAATATGTTTTTTGGTTTTAGACTTGTGTCTTATATGGAAAACCCAAGTTGTTCTACTATAATCATTAACTATGGTGAGAAAATATTGATATCCGAACAAAAAAAAGAAGTTCCATAAGCCATCGGATATCAATATGAACAAGTTCAAAGCATTTTATGGAATAAGATGAACTAATGGGAAAAGGAAATCATTTTTGTTTTACATAATGACAAACATCATATTGTTTATTAGAGATATTAATAGGAACATCTTTACAAAAAGAATATAAAACAACTAGTCCGGAATGAGAAAAATGACCAAGCCTATAATGCCATACATCAAAAAAGTTATTGGCAATAGGAATAATAGTTCTATTAGAAACGGAATGATGAAGAGTATTGAAAGTAGTTAAAGAAGAAAATAGAGTTATCAACCGATACAAACCCTCGCTTCTTCTCGCTTGTACCAATCATCCTCTTGGATTGATGCTCTTGTATGGCATTGAAATTAGAATGAAATAACAAAGAACAATTTGAAGTCTTGGTCAACTAGTAGATAGAAATAACGTTGAAAGAAAAACTAAGAATAAAAAGAGCATTAAGCAATGTAAGTGTAGAATAACTTTAATTATGCCAACATGTGTAACTAACACTTATTGACCAATAGGTAATTTGACAAAGACATGGAAAACTCGGGGTATATATATGAAAAAATTATAAAGAACAAATAATGTGATTTGTAATACCAATGCCTAATATCTATAATGTTAGATTATGAATGATAGAACCATAGAAAGAATTATATGTACTCGCTATGGAAGAAAAATTAATGGACAAGACATTAATATCAACGAAGTAGAGGACTCGCGAAAGAGGTTGAATGAAGGCTAAAAGTTTAGAATATTGATATGTAATAAAGAGGGTCGCATAGAACTAGAATTACCAAAAGTAGTAAGCCGAGTATCGGAACCCAAACTAGTAAAAGAACTAGTAGCTTTAGGAAAAGAACTCTATATGCCAATAGAATCGAAACATGAGATGTTATGCTAGGATGACTTTTTGAAAAATTATTAGAGTATTCTCCAAAACATTCTCGTAAAGAATCGGTACCATACGAGGTCTCAACTCGATTAGCAAGTCCATTAAAAACAACTAGAGATTTGTCAAAAGGCTTGCATCTTGGTGGAAACTTATGTTTCTTGTAACACCTATCCACAGTATGCCCCCGAAGGCATAAAAAACACACTCGAAACTTAGATATCCCATTGTAAACCGACTTTCTTTTACTAGAAAAACCACCTCTTCTAAGAAAACCACCTTTGCTAAAGAAAGGAAAGCCTCTACTACCATATTGAGAAACAAATTTATTTTAAAAAAATAGTACTAGGATCGGTGTTACTAGTAGAACTCGTATACCAAAGCTCACACTTAGTTGTCGTTCATATTGAATGACCATGGAAAAAATTTGTTAATGGATCGAAGAGGATCTATTAACAAGATTTGAGATCTCATAGTTGTAAAATTATTAAACCTTTTAAGAACTCGATCATATAGTCATAATTTTGAAAATCTCTAATTCTCTTAAAAGCTTTACAATGACATTAAGGATCACAGGAACATAGAGGTATGGTTCTTAAATTTGAAAACTCATCCCATAGTACTCGTAAATGTGTGAAATATTGAGTAATAGGAAGTAAACCTTGGTTATAGGAATAGATTTTCTCTTGAAGCTCGTTGCTTTGAAATAGTCATCATGAGAAAAATGTTCTCGTGGATCTTTCCAGACTTCTAGGTAATATCTAACCAAAGAACACTATGTGCAACTCATAGGAAAGAGCTTGAATAAGTCAAGATAGCATTATTGTATTGTATCTCTCTCAAGTGAAATAAATAGAATTAGACTTGTTTGGAACTTTGATAGTTCCATCAATGAACTCGTAACATATTTTTAGAGAGGAGAGACATCCTTATAGATTGATGCCATGAGTGATAATTGGAATCAAAAAGTAGAGGAGAAACTAGCACAAGAGAAGGATTCTCATTGGGATGAAAAAAAATAAGGGCTAGACATATGCTCTTCGGGTTTGGAAATCATAGAACTCGAAAAAGAAGTAACAAGAGGTATAGTCATTGTAGTGAAAACAAGGATTTATAGAAGAAAGGAAGAAAAGCGAGAAAGAAAGATAAGTGTTTGGTTGCTCAAAAAAATTTAAGAAAGCAAACAGAAAGCTCTAGAAAGAATATGCTCTAATACCATATCAAGATTTTGAGAGAAAGAGCTTGTTATTATTTCTTGTCTTCTAACTTCTTATATATAAAGGTAGCAAAAGCAAAACTAATTTTACTTCTAACTAACCTTAACTATGAAATAAATTGTACAAACAAAAAACTAACTATAGTTAAGCATTAAATAATTAAACTAACTATAATTAATAGATTTATACACGTGCATAAAAAAGGAGGAAGGATAAGCATTGATAAGAGAGAAAACAAAACTTAATACTCACCATTCTAAGGAATTAATCTGTCACAATAAAATTGAGAGTCTAACTTTATACTTCTCTTGCATAAATTGTAAACAAATTTAATTTCTAGCATAAATAAAAATAAAATTTTTTCACAATAGTAATCCTAAATACATAAAAGAAATAAAATTCTTGGCAATAGTGAGTGATTAAAATTGTTGAGGGGCCAAATTTAAAACAACAGGATTTCAAATAAAGATGTAATTTTTGAAGAGGTCAAATTGAAAAACTATAAAGTTCAATGTCAATCATTTACTAATTTGAAGGTACAATAGTTTATTGAGATTTTTTAATCTATCATCTTCACAATAAATTATACTTACATTCTGTAACAACAATAAAGTAAAGTAAAAAGGAAAAAACCCATTTAAGAAAAATGGCTCAATTTTTCCTTATAGATTAAAATCATTCTCTATTCTATCTTAATATCCATAATTATTCAAATGATAAATTATGTTAATCACTCAATGTTTAGAATGAAATAACTAATATATCTAGAAAAATACCACTTAACATGTGTCTCTCGTCAAACTATGATAAAGAGATCCGCCTGCCCTAATTAATATGTCTATACAAGTTTTCATACTAATAAAACTCCTATGATCGGGAATACTCTTTTGCAAAATTCGTTATCAATCTCCAAGCCTTATTCACTCTTCACTGGGAGTAAACATAAAAAACGAACATAAAGGGCAAAAGGTTTTGAGATTGAGTTTTAAATATAAAAATTATAATTATATTATTGTATTAATTTTTTTCTCAATAAAAGATTATTCTTGACTTTGTGGAATAGGCAAGATTTTATCTTTTCTTTTGATTGAATTGAATTGTTTGTAGTGGTGTGTTGAATCTACTATCTTCAATTTCCCACTAAAATGGTTAATTCAACAATAAATCTAACAGGCTTACGTGGTTCGCAAATTATGAATGAAAAAAAGACAAAAATGTGAAAGGAGACATGAGATGGGGCCTTCAATTGCTTTCGAAAGGGCCCTGCAGATAAAAAGGTTCCACATCTAGAATGGGGTAGTGTAGATTTTGTTTCTCGTACAACTAGATCTCTTCCATGGGTATAGAGAAAACGCGCTTCCATGAAGAGAGGGAAGTGGGTGTCCAGATTTTGGTGTCTGATACGGGGTGGGATGCCGAGACATATTCATCATCAGAAAGCTTTTTCTTTGAGCTTTCTGATAGATTATTTGGGGTGTATAAAGCGTAGGCATTGTCTTCGGCGATATGAACAAGACATCAATCGGCAATGGTGGGCTTTCTCAAGCTGTCAAGACGAGATATGAACAAAAAAAATTGTTTGCACGTGTTAGGAAATTTCAAGGATTGATAGTGTTCTATCTTATTGTAGATGCTACCTCTTATGGGCATTGGCAAGTTGATAAAAGTGCATTTTGTTTGTAAAGAATTATATATAAATATATTTATGTCTTTTGATAAAAAAAAATTAATATGTAATGCATGCGAAGGGTAAGAATAGTATTTTCTGTAGCTTTGGTGGACTAAATGGTCCTGAAACAGAGACAAATAGTGTAATAGTCTAATAGTCTAGCTTCAAGCAAATCCTACAATTATTTTCATGTCCTTACAAATCTTCTTACCTATGGAAAACTGGGGGTTATGACACCATCCTTGTCTGAGGTACAATTATTAAATAGGCATAATGGCATCATTGATTCAATTCAAAATTCAAACCCTATTGATTACCAAGAAACGAATTTACACTTTATTTTTTTCTTTCCCTCTTCCCAATTATTAAATAAGATTTTTTTTTTTTTTGCCATCCGTCCCATATATTACCCGGGCCTTTCTGCACCACAAATTTCTAAGTGCATGGCCAACGGTAGAGGTGAAAAGGGAGCAAAAATAAAAGTGGGGCGGTGGTGAACAAAAAGTAAAAGTCTACTCTTTACGAGTTTTACCAGATGATAGAATGCTTGTGTTCCATGAAGATGAAATGGTTCCCAAATTAATGCTTCATAATAATGCAAGCACAAGAAAGGGGAAAAAAAGACACTAACTAAATTATTTGAAATAATCATTGTATACATGGCAAAGAAGTAATATATTTATATATATATATATAACATGAGGATAACGGTTAGCAGTTAGTATTTAACAGTAGTATTTATCAGGACAAAAAAATAAAATTAACTACCACTATAAAAATAAAAAATTACTCAATGTTTACTTGTAATTACACCTTTTTAGATTTAAATATTTCAAAAAAAAAAAAAAAAAGAATTTAAGCATGTAACTTTTTATAAGTACAAAAATCTCATTATTATTGCATCAAAAATTAATTCATATTTATTTTTATATCCCATATCCTAAAAGATTTTATGACTCAAATCTCTTCTTTATATTAGAGGGGGAAAACATGATAAATTAACTACCATATCCCTTCTATAGCACACAAACACGTACATTCTCTTTGGACATAAAGAGAAAATGGTTTAGTCATAACCGGAGAATCTTATCTCACAAAAATGGTCAGGCGCAAGGAAAGGCAACAATCATCAACCGCTATTTCGACAGTTATAACATCCTTGTAATTATAATGCTCATTAGGTATATATTTGATTACATACAATTTTTTAGATTTTAAAAATGTTTTTTTTTTTTATTTCACTCAATTTGGTCAGTTCTTTTCAATTATTATTATGGTGTAGTGGATCGGGAATATTCTAAAGGCTGAACTAAACTTATTGTTCAAATGAAAAATCATTAATTAGGAAAAAAAAAAAAAGAGATGAAATCTTTGTTAATTATTCTACTCAATTATTTCGTCAGTTCTTTATTATTATTATTATTATTATTATCTTGATGCAATGAATCAGAAATATTCTTAACATTGATCTTGATCTAGCTATAATTTATAAAAAAAAAAAAAAATCATAGTTAAGTATTCTCCTAGCTAGTACTATATATGGCATCCCTGTGCTTCTGCATATGCCTTAATTTTCTGTCCTCTGTGATAAATATTTTATGCCCTACAAAACAAATCTACGTAAATGCTGGCCATACATGATGGATATTTAATTTAATAAATTCTTCTCCACCATTTCTGTCTTTCCACACGTATAACGACAAAATGTGGAGTACTTCTAAATACTCGTATGAGTATATTTTGACAAAAAATAAAAAATAAAAAATAAAATTATAGCATATCTATTCGTGTATATATCTGAATCAATTACGAGAAAAGGTAGTCTAGTTCATTGCTCCATCACATATTTTTGTACACGTGACGAGAGAATCTCATGATAGATGGATTTAAGTTGTCATCTTTGCATCCCTTCACGGTATTTGCCCAAAAAAAACATCATAATTGGTGTTTGGTTTTTGATGCAAGATTTTTGGGTTAACTGTAAATCAGCCCCTCTATTATTATACTTTATCCTTTTGTGTCCATAAAATAGTTGTATAAGCTCAATAGTCCAAACACTTTCTTGGTTGGCTATTTTCACACCTATGTTACGTTTCTTTGTTTTGTTTTGTTTTTTTTTTTTTCCTTCTTCTTATACATTAATTAGTTTGCTATTGCACTAAACTTTGTTGTGTTTGATGGAATTATGTTTTAGGGCTTAGCATAATTGACCAATGAGTTTATTATTTTCTTTTTCATGTAGGGTTCAAAATCTTAAAAGAATGGTCGAAGGTGCAGTGTATATTGAGTAAAATAAACAAGGGAGGGCATATGAAAAAAATATAAGCATGAATATAAAGTTTTTTTTTTTTAAAAAAAAAAAGGTCATTTAGAATAAGCAAACTTAAAGGGTCAAATTGAAATAATCCTTAAATATAAAAGTCAAAATTAACTTTTTAAATAGCCTAATTAAAATAATTCTTAGTTATAACAGTCAAAATCAACTTCTTAAAAAATTCAAGGGCCCACGGCCACCGCGTGACAAGCTCCATCACAGCCTAGAAAAGCATTTTTTTTTTTTTTTTGTTAATTTACCAATCCGAATGTGGATGGACGAAAGCCCTCTCAAGGTTCTATTGGTACATGAAAACAAGCACAAAAGTTAGAGGTCTTAAATTCTTTTAATAAATTTTGCTTATTAAATGATGTGGCATCTATTCCAAAAAAATAATTTTCAAATAATGGAATGCAAATCGTATCACATCTAATTGGATAATTATAATTAAGGAATTGAGCAATTAATAAAGCACCAATCAAATGATACCACATAACTTACTAAAAAAAATTAACAAAAATATCAAGTATCTCCAGCATTATCCTAAAATAATAATAATAATAATAATAATTGAATTTGGAAATTGTGATATCAAAAATATATTAATTTTTGATAATGAGAGTATTTAATGATTTTTCGTTCCACTAATCTTTTGAGTACTCTTATAAAATCCTGCCTTTAAAAGGTTGGTTCGAGTCAAAATGAAAAGATTTGTTTAGCTTGAACGCTTATGTTTGATTTTTACATTGACTATTTTTTAAGTAGTATATTTATGTTTGATCATTTACATTTGACAAATCATGATTTTCAATTTTGCTATTGATACAATCTAATTCTTCTACAAGCATTTGTGTTGGGTATATGTTATAGGTTCAGTCCATGAATGACCTTAGTAAAATTCATCAAAAAATAAATTTAGAAAAAATATTGATTAGGAAAAAATTGAATAGAAAAAATACTAAATTGAAAAGGAAAGAAAATTAAAGATCAAATTGTGATGTGTGTTAAGAAGTGGTGATGGAAAAGAAAAGGTTTTGATTTTACCTTTTCTGGTTTGGTTTTAGACTTTGCCGACATTTGCAAGTATAAAAGAAAGATGCATATTTTTTTGTCAGAACAGACGTAGCTGTCGAGAGAAGAAGGAAAGTTAAGGAGAGCGAAAGCTGTCTAGAGGAGAAGGAAATTTAAGAGGAGAGAAAAACAAGTGGGTATTGCTATAATAAAAAGGCAAGGATTTGAGATTTTCTTTGGTATTGATTTTTTTAGTACTATAACCATTGAGAATTGCAGTATTAAAGTGATAATCTTATATAGTGTTTGGTTTTATTGAAAAAATAGAGGTTTCACATATTGTAAGTTTTTATAGTGGGACGAATTTAATTAGAGAAGTAATTTGTATTGTCGTCGACAGTTTTGCTTTTCAAGTTTACAAAAAAACTTAAGTGATTGTATTATTTTCTTTATTATAATTGATTATTTTAGAGTTTGTTTCATAATTTTATCTTTAAGATAGAGAGGGTTTTCACGTAAATTTAATATTCTTGTAATTGTATTTTTATAATTGATTTATTTTGTACTCTTGATTATTGTGTATGTTTGATTTGATTAATTTCTAATAAAATCTAATTTACACTAATTGGGATTAAATTTCCAATAGTAGTATTAGAGCTTTTGTTGAAACATTTGTGTAAATTAGATTGAGAAAAATTAAATTCGAAAACCATGATCAAACTAACAACTTTGAGTTATTCGATTTGAAAGCGGTTGATGGAGGATCTTCTTTATTATCATAATTTGTTTGATCCGATTGAATTACGTAAACTCAAGACTCGATGATGCTTGGAGAAAGGAGCATAGACAAGCTATTAGAGGTGTCAAACAATGAATGGAAGATATTGTATTTTACAATGTATCCAAAGAGGCAAATAGCCAAGATATATGAAAAAAAAATTAAAGAGTATGTATGAAAGAAAAACTATATAGAATAAAGCTTCTTTGATTATAAAGTTTGTGAATTTGAAATATCAAGATGGAATGTCCGTTGTTGAACACTTGAATGGATTTCATGATTTGATTAATCAATTGATGACCATAAAAATAATATTAGATGACGATTTAAAAGCACCGTTACTAGATGACGAGTACAAGCACTATTGTTATCGGGGACTTTGCTAGATAGTTGCAAGACGTTGGTTGTGACACTTGATAATTTTTCTTTGAATCGTGTTTTATTATTTTTTTATGGTTAAAGATTGATTGTTCAATGAAGAAACAAGACAAAGTGGTAGTGGATGAAGCACAAACTCCTGTCATAGAGAATAAAAGGAGGAGAAGGAATATAAATTTTAGTAGGCATAGTAAATCCGAGAGGTAGACCATAGACAAATGGTAGTTTTAAATATCATCACTACGGAAGAAAATGTCACATCAAGAGAAATTTCATGGCTTGAAAGAAAAAACAAGAAGAATTTGAAAAAAAAATAATGAGAACATCATTGCAGTATTCACGTCGGACTAGGAAATGACGTTGCTCTCATATAGAGAGAATAAGTGTAAAATTGCAAATCCTTATGTTGAATGGTGCTAACTTAAGGACTCGTGTATGATGCTATTTTTAAGAAGAAAATATTTACTATTTACAAAGTAGAAGACTTTGATAAAACAAAGATAAACAATAATAGTTATGTTAGTCTTCTTAAAGTTAGTGATGTATGTATAAATACATATATAAGTTATACATTGAGTTTGAAAGATAGGATGCATGTATTGGATTTATACCTAGATCTAATTCTACTCGTGTCTTGAACATTACCAAACACTACAATCATCTTGATGGTGAGAGATGGAAACTCACTAATGGATCAATGATTATTGTTAAAGGTAACATTTGTGATAACTTGTACTAGACAAAGATTTAGTTTATCGAACTAAGAAGAGTGCAATTGGATATAAAATTTCTTCAAAGTTATGGTTTAGGCTCAAGTGAATAAAAAAGATTGGCAAAGAAGTATTGTGTTACTTTTGCCAAAGAGATTGCCACATATAGTGGAGCATTGAATGATAAACATGGAATTGATATTATTCAACGGTTGCTAATGATGATGATATATATAAGAGTAGTGCTAAGTAGAGAGAGCAGGACAATTTACTTTAATATATAGAGTCTCAAGTGAGTAGATCTATTGGTCAATATTATTCTTTTATTAAAATTTCAAGTTTAATAATATCTTATTGATAGATGAAGGGAATTGCTAAATAGTTTATGTAATATTTTGACTTATGATAAGAGTAAGGAATTAAAATTTAATGATTGGTGATGTCATTGGTTTTGTGAGGCAATGAAAAAACAATTGATGATGCTAAGAATGATTCTTTAAAATAAAAATTATGTTGATATGTTCACAAAATTAATAGCGTGCGAGAAAAATAAATTAGGTACTAGTGTGGTTGTGATGATAGGCACAAAGAGAAAACAATACTAGCACTATATATAAATTTGGTGATAGAGAGGATTTTTCACATAAATTTGGTCTTTTGTGGTTGTGCCATTGATTATTTTATGTATTTGGTTTAATTATTTTTTAATAGAATCTAATTTACACTGAATGAGATTAAATTCCCAACAATTTGGATATGAAAGTTTTTTTTAGCACTATACATGGTGTATGTGTATAACACGTGTGTGTTGTCTATACGTATATAAATTGATGCTTACTTATGTTAAGTTAAAGACGAAACCAAGGTGGGTAGGCATAGCTCAAATGTAGAATCACATGTATTAGCAAATTTGAAATATAAATGCCATTAATTTTGAGTTTTCGTCAAAAGAATTAAGTTTTTATATCAACAATCCATGTTCTTTATGTGATCAAGAGGTTTCGGTTTTATAATTATTACAGAATGGTTAAAACTTTAAAAAAACTTTCAAATCATTGAATTTAGGTGTTATCCAAATAAATTAAGTTTTAAAACAGTTAAACAGCTTATTCTCAATTTTAAATACCCAATTTTATTCCATAAGGATTAATTATGCAATATAAGAATCAAACTCCAAAGGTATTTCTAATTCACGTAGGAATGGTAACAAGAGTAGCTTGGTCAAAACTTTGCCTCCACAATCCCGACACCAGAGAAAGTCGGATTGTCTGTATATATATGTATAATAAATTAATGATTTATGCGTAGAAGTTCTAAAGAAAGTAAAGCGCAACCCTTTGCCCTGTGCTTAAAAGGGTTGCTGGGAATTCCATTTTTTGGTCGATAGGCCAGATTTTGTTGGGTCGAATTAAATTCTGATCGTACGTCTAAACCAGAGACTCAAACTAGTGCATCAAGAATCAATGCGTCTCCTGAATTGCCTGATTGCTTGAAAGGACTACTGCTGCCTTCTTCTTAACTACTGCCGGATATGGGGTCATCGGACAGCTACTACACTAATTCTTCACCGGTTGTGATTCTATATCTCCATCATCCGGTAGAAAAGTCATCAAGTATGCCATGTTTGTTAAAATTATGTGAAATTTACAGAAGGACAGAAAAAGTCTCAAAAAATAAAAAATTGCGAAATAAGCATTGAAAGTTGCCAGCTTTTGCAACTAGCTAGGCCAAGGCTGTAGTGTAAAAATCACACAAGGTTTAAAGAAAATGGAATTTACTTGGCACAACTTTTCTCCCCCACATGCTTCATTTCTAAAACATGAATCTGCTAGTTGTGCCATTTTAGCAATCAGACAAAATGAAAAGAGCTGCTCTTTTGTAACACAATTCTTTTCTTGCAAAAGAAAAGCAAGAATAAAAGGCATGAAAATGTGCTTCAAAAAAAGACATGAAAAGGGACCATTCTTGCTAATAATTGTAAGTCACTGTTACTGACAAATTTGGCTTCCTTTACCATCAAAACTCAATAGTTTCCTGCCATCTCAATACACTATGCAAGTCATGGCCTCTTATAGGGAGTGTGATTGGGTGCGGGTCAGCACTGGCCAAGTGCACTGTGTGGGGATCTTGATATTGCCATCCAACCATAAGATTTTAAGAACGTTGGTAAGAGGTCAACCGTGAAATCAAATATGGACGGACCCTGGCATGTTATTTAGGCTGTGGAGTCTTGGGAATTTTGTTTGACACGCCCATGAACTTCTCCTTTATTCTATAGTAGGCCAGGAAGGAATTAATAAGCTTGCATGTTTTCAATTTTTCCAAGAATAAACAAACGAAAAGCTGAAGGAGCTGAAGGGAAGGCACGTTTTTGGCCTCGACCTTTTCAACCTGCAGACAGTGCCTTGCACAAGAAAAAGAAAAATCCCTGATGCATCTCATATTTAACTCAGTAATTTATATATAAATTAGCTACTAGTAGAACATATAAATTGTCAGCTTTCGACAAATAATTATTGTTGACCTAGATAGAAAGAGTATTGATTGTTTTTACTTGGTGGGTCTCTTGCTTTCACAATTAAAGGTGGTGCCTTCTCGGCCTAGGTTCAAGAGATGTTCCAGTGATTTGTCTCTTGCCACAAAAGGGGTAGGGAAAATGTCGAAGCATATGTACTAGAAGCCACAGAATTGACAGCCACCATTCTATATCCTCTCTGGCTAAAGAAAAGAGCATAAATCCAAACAGATATTGACTGAACCAACACAGTTCATCTATGATATTAAATAGTGTTTTTTAAAAAAAAAATTAATTAATTAGTTCTTTAAAACTATTGACTATGGTAAATTCAATATCATTTTATTTCAAAAGAATACATTTTTTTCTCACCAACCTTTCTATATATTTTTTTACTTATTTTTTTTATTTTTCTATTTATTAAAACAAAAGGATAAAATAAATTGAAAAAAGGATGGAATAGATTAAGTACAAAAGATAGAGACTAATTAATTAGTTACAAAAACTTAAGGGACCATTCAATTCATTTACAAAAAACTAGAAGGACTAATTTATAATCTACTCGTTTTAATGGCAAAAAAGTCGATACAACAAGTTCAACTTTTACCAGAATTTTTACAGATTTATGACCTCGAAGGTACAAACATAAAGGACAGAATTTTCATATACGAATTCTTGAAAGTTTGAGAATTGAGATGAAACTAGTAATCTGTAATGCGTTTACACTAACTAACTTAAAGCAAAGGAATTTATCACACATTTTCCATCTTTCCAAAAACTGTACAGTTAGATTCATTCACAGAAGTCATAATGTTACATAACCACAAGAGGAAAATAAGAAGACAACAAAACAAAACAAAAAAGGAAAAGAGGGAGAATTTGCAACCCTTCAAAGAAAAACAAGAAGGGCTGAAAAATCTTCATCGGATAAAAAAAACAAGGAAAAGAAAAAACAGAGAAAGAAATTAGGAATTAACACACGCAGATATACACATACACACATTCATAGAAAGAAAGAAACACTAATAATTCCATAAAACACTACTCTCATCCGGCACTGTAAAATCATCACAAGCATACCCACCACCGTCGCTGAAACAGTGATTCTCCACGCTTTGCATCCACGGTGGAGGGTACATCCACCCATCAACCGAGTCAAAGTAAACAAAATCATTGTTTAAAACATCATAGCTCGTCTCAAGACTTGGCAACTCAATAATCTCGCTTAACTCTTCCTCTGGCGACGACAAGTCCATCAAAGAAACGAGAGATGTCAAAGAAGAAGATGAAGAGGTTGGTGTTGTTGTTTCACATTTTTGGTCAAACTTGTCCATTTGGGCAGCTTTGGCAGCGGCTGCTTGAACATCACGAGGAGCAAGTGAAGCTGGTCGAGGTAAAGAGTTGGCGAGCTCAGGGAAATTAAGAATAGCTGAGTTTCCTTTGATGCTTAAAGCAGCTACATCATGTGCACGAGCTGCCATTTCTGGTGTCGGAAAAGTCCCTAACCAAATGCGAGACTTTTTGCGTGGCTCACGAATTTCAGACACCCATTTGCCCCAGTTTCTCATCCGAACTCCACGATAGACTGGATGCTTGTTTGAGTCTCTTATTGTTTTTATTTTCTTAGAGGGAGCGAAATCTTGGTCTTGTTGATGCTTCTTTGATGGGGTAGAGTTGGAGGATGGTGAAGAAGGTGAGGGTGGTGAGAATGAGTTTGTTGAGCTACTTTCTGTCTCTGAATTTTGTTGTTGATGATCACTCATTTTTCCTAAGGGTGATTAGTCTTTTTAAAAAGGATAATCATGTGCCAAAATGAGCGAAAGATGGATGTACTTAAGCTCTAAGTATTTAATGAGCAAAATAGAGAAGTACGGGAGAAATTAGTCAAAATGGTTGGTGTGTGTTTTGAGAGAAAAGAGAGCAAAACCAAGGAAGATTGTTGCTTCGGAGCAAAAGAGAGAGAGAGAGCGTGTGTTGTTGTTATTGGAAGAGTGGAATAATGGAAGGATGTGGCACTATAGGGTGGAGTTGTAGATAGGGGAGAATCTATCACAACTGGTGCCTGCTTGTTTCTGCAAAGAAAGATTGAAGTTTGAGCCTTGAAAGAGGAGAGAAAGAAAAAGGGTTGTAGCAAAATCAGCAGGACAACAAGAAGGAGCTAGAGAGTTATTGCACATTGAACCATGGGAAGCTGGCTATGGATACTTGATGAACAAGGGCATTGCCTTTTATCACATCATTTCCCAATGACTCATTCAACACTTATAAGCATTGAAAGGAAGAGAGAGGGATAGTGAAGGAGGTGGAGCCAGAGGAGAAATGGGACACCCTGCTAGACCCAATGGTACAATGGGGTCCCTTTCTATAGTACCACGCAACCCTTTGATCTGTTTTTCCTTTTTAACCCGTTTTCTCTGTTCATTTGTCCCTTATCTTCTAGCTACCTCTCTCACTGCCTTTATCAAACCCCATAAGAATATGTTCATGTCACCATTTTGCCCCTCTCTGTAGGATTATAGATATCTCCATCACTACTTTCCCTATAGATTGGTTGGTGGAGATTTGATAATCTTATATTAGATATACTGTGAGGCAGCAATCTAGATTTATACAGTGCCACTTTCTGTCTTAATCTATTGCATGATGAATTGATGATCTGTTCCAATGTTATATTATTGAGGTCTTTTTAGTCAACATGGTTCTGTTTGATATTTTCAGGTAGAAAACTAAGGGTTTTCATTGTCCACTTGGCTAAAATTTAAGGCCCATAATTATCCTGTCCCAACGTGGAAGAGGGAGGGCAACTCAATCGACAGCATGCATTGTATGAACCGACCCAAGTAGCCAAGGCCTTAACGTAGTAACATCTAGCACCATATTCTCTCTTCTTCTTCTTCTTCTTCTTCTTTTTGTTTTTGTTTTTTTCCTTCTTTTTTCTTTCCCTCCTCTTATCGAAGAGTAATAACAATAAGAAATAATTAACTGCATTTTCTGTGTAAGTCCAAACCAAAATACAGTCTACGACCCAAGTCCATCTTATCTCTAGGTAATAAAAATAAGAAATAATTAATTGCATTGATTTGGCTTGTCAGGAAAGTTATTTTTCTTCAACTAATTAATTGCATTAGGAGTTCATGATAGAAGCTAGTCCCTAAGAGCCTTTGGAAAGAATATCAGAGTTGTTCGATCAAGATCACCACATAAGATTTCTCACATATGCTTAAAACAACAAGGCAATTTAATTATAGTTGAGGATGAAAAAGCGTGGAAAGCATCCATTAGCTAAAATGACTTCCTACATTCTGCTTTTTGGTTAGCAAATATATTTTATTTATATTAAATGACTTACAAATTCTGTCATGTGCATATTTGTTGTGAGGACAATTGTTAAAGTTTGAAAAAGAAAAAAAAATGTTAAATAGGATGGTATTATATAGAGGCACATCATTTTAATACAATCAATAATATAAAAAAGAAAAAGAAAAAATAGAATTACATAAAACACAAAACAATAATAAAAAATGTTGTCATTTTAATTAAAAACAAAGATCCCACAATAAACAACAATGTTTTTGGCAAAAACAAAAAAACAAAACAAAGGGTAGTTTTGTTTTAAAAGAAAATAAGTTTTTTTTTTTAAAAAAAAAATTAACCCTTGTTTTGATTTTAAAAAAAAATGATATTGAACGAACACTATTTTTACAACAAAAACGAGTTAAAAATAGTTGTGATTTAAAAACATAACAATTTTAAACAATCACCCGATATTATTATATTTTATGTTTATATCTTTGTTCAAGTCAATGTGTTTGTAATGCTTGGGCTTGATCTTTTTTATAAATGAAACCAATTTACTCTTCGAGGTACGTCAGGGGAGGGGGAAGAAGCCGGTGATAGATATTAGCTATGCATCAAATTTACTCTTTAATAAGGACATAGACTCAAGGCCTATGATCTTATTAAGTAAAGTTTTTCTTATCATAATTTTGACTTAAGGTCCAAATTATATTTTATTCACACACACACACACACACACACACATATATATATATATAATACAAATTTATATGTGAATAAAATACAATTTGGACCTTAGTACAAAATTCCGATAAGAAAAACTCCACATAATAAGATCATAGGCCTATATATATGCCCGAATTGTTTGATTTCTAAGTTTGTTTTAGTCTCTTACTTTCACATTTTAACTAAGAGACTAAGTCTTTTTTCAATTTTTAAATCACTCGTATGTAAGAGAAGTTCAAAAAGACAAAATAATCAACTAATGATCCAAGATAAGAGGGGAAAAAAAAAAAGGACATAAAAAAATAGACTTTCATGAATAAATTCTCAAAAGTTAGAAATATGAAGTAACCTCATTGTGAGAGCATACTTAGAGTGATTGTGATGTTTCGTAGTTGCGTAAAAAAAACTTCCTTAGATAGAACTCTTTAAATTAGTGTCAAGTTTTTCTTGATTTTTATCTTTTAAAAAATTGAGTGGTAATTCTACATTTCAAACCACGTATCATTCAAAATTGTCTAAACATAATTGTATTACATCAAACATGGCATGATACCCTCCTTATCTTTTGAGGTATTATTATCATTGTGTTATATTTTAGTATATATGGTTTATGTAAAAAAAAAAAAAAAAAACTCGTTTTAGAATCGTGAAACAAAGTATAGAAGAATTTAGTCCTTGTTTTGAAACTCCAAAATAGAGGGTAAAGAAACTCTAACATTTTTATCAAATTCCAAAGCCAAAAAAATAAAGTTTGCAATACTCCTCTTAAATAGCGACTATCCTACCCTAACGAGTGTTTTAGGTAGATGCAAATACTAAAATAGAAAAAAAACACTAAAACTAAGGTATTAAAAATAAATGTAAATTTAAAATGTCCTAGCTTGTTTTAAACTATGATTATGCTCTTTGTACTTATCAATCTAGCACTCCTCATCAATCCCCTCCATTTGAAGAAAACTCATCCTCATGTTAACTCGGACATTTGGATACAAAGGTTCCTCCGAAGAATGAAAAGAATAGATATCTTCCACATTAAAGGTTTTAGAAATTCTCATTGTATTCAGCAAACCCACAATATATGCATTATCATTGATCTTCTTCAATATTTAGTAAGGGCCACACTTTTTGGGTCGTAGTTTGTTATAACTCCCCACTAGAAACCTCTCTTTACGCGAAACACCATCACCTAATCTCCCACTTCAAAAACTTATCTTCTACGATATTTATCACTGCCGTCTTATATTTAGCGTTAACCTTTTGTTGCACCTCTATTTGCATATCTTACCACTCGGTTAGCTAATTTTTCTATAGCTACACTAACTCTAGAAACTCGAGGTAGCTTGATCAAATCAAGAGCATGTTATAGCGACTTGATGTACATAATAGAAAAAAGAGATTTTTCCATAGCATTGTGGACAACATTATTGTAGCCAAACTTTGCTTGTGCGAAAACCGAATCTCAATGCTTTGGTTTATCCCTATAAATACAACAAACCAAGTTATCGAGGGTTCCATTTACCGATTCGGTTTGCCCACCTATTTATGGGTAAGTTATGCTCGTTGAAATTAATCGAGGAGTCAAATAGCTTCCATAATATCCTCCAAAAATGTCCAAGAAACTTATTGTCCCTATTGAAAGTAATGGTTTTATGTACACCAAGCGGACGCGTGATTTCTTTGAAAAAAACTTAGCTACCCCATTGGCATCCGAAGTCTTCTTACGAGAGGATAAAATGTGCTATTTTTGAAAACTTATTAGCAACCACAAAAACTAAATTCATACCCCTTTGTGTTCGGGGCAACCCAAGTACAAAATCCATAGAGAGGTCTTTCCAAATGTTCTCCGGAACTCGGTAAAGGCATATACAACTTAGTATTTTGGGACAACCCTTTTATGGTTTGACACACATAGCACCTTTATACAATTCTAACCATATCCCCCTCGCCTATGGCCAATTAAACCTCTCTCCCCCACGAGTAGCAATAGTCTTGTCACAAACTAAGTGAATTACAAGACCTCCCTATGTAAATCACAATTTAATTTTTTCCTTAAGGAAGTTTTTAGAATACGAGTTGATTTTCTCACATGAGGAAATCGTCATAAATGTGGAAATCCTTAGCAAATTGATTGGTAATGCACTTCTCCTATAAACTACCAAAGTCTACATTTTTTTCATACAAACTTTTCACCTCTTCAAATTCGACAATGTCTTACTTCAAAAGCACCATTAACTCTACATGTCTCGCTCAAGGTATCAACTCGCTTTATTTTGTACTCCTAGCTTATATTTCAAACCAAATATGAATTTTGTGTAGGAATTAGGATCACTTTGTATGCATGTCTCTCCGAACTCGTTTTTTACTATTTAAGTATTTCAAAACATCATGATTTGAATATAATGTGAACACCTTACCAATCAAATTATACTCCTAATTCTTTAACCACACATGATATAGTAGAATTCCTTGTCATAAGTTGCCCACTTTCGTCATGTTTCACTAAGCTTTTCACTAAAATAAGCCACTCGTTTTTTCTTTTGAGACAAAACAACTCCTATTCCCACAACAATAACATCACATTCAACTTCAAACAAAGTCTCAAAGTCTAGTAAGGATAAAATTGTTACAAGTATATAACTTTTCTTTTAAAATGGAAAAACTAGTTATAGCTTTTTCACTCCATTAGAATTGACCCTTTTTTAGACACTCTATAATAGGGGTTGCAATGCTACTAAAATTT